TTTTTGATCTCTAGTATTTCTAATATGTGAAGTCTGGATTGGTCTCTAGTGTTTATTTCTTCTGCTTCTCACTCATGGTGCCTTGTTTTCTTGTGTATTTGGTGAGCTTTTACTGTAGGCCACTTTGTAAAATAATTGTGTAGATCTCCTAAGACATAAAATGAAGTTGCATTCCTCTAGGGAGGATTTACATTTTTTTCTGTCTGGGGCTTCGGGAGTACTGCCTGTGACTTTAAATTCATACCTTGAGGCTGCAGATCCTCCAGAGCCAGTGTTTACACCTCCTTCAGGGGGTGGGTATCTGCCTGGCACCTCAGCAGAGCCTACAGCCCTTTGTCGTGGGGAAAGCAGGCAGGTTTATTTTCAGGTTTACCTTTATCCTAAGGTGTTAGCCTTTCGGGGCCACAGCTTAATGTCCTTTAAGACTTCTCACTTTTGCTGGGCCCTGGATTTTGACTTTGCCTTTTTCACTCTGTGAGCTCTCAAAACCCCTGCTCATTTTTAGAGCTTAGCTTATTTGGAGACGTAGATGCCATGAGGGGAAAAGAGATCTTGGATATTCTAATTCTTTTTGCTGCTGCTTAGATTTTGGCCTGGAAGTTATGTACTCTCTTAGAGTTCTTTGATGCTTCTATGAGGATTAAAAAAATATTCATCTCAGCGTTTTAAAATAAACTGTTTTTAGCATATTTTAGACATATGGAAAAATTGAGCACATGGTACAGAGGGTTCCTATATGACCCAGACCGTTTTCTCTGTTACTAACATTTTACATAGTATTTGTCACAGTGCTTACATATTATGAACCAGTATTTATACGTTACTATCACCTGAAATCCATAGTTCATTCAGATTTTAGTTTTTGCCTCTTTTTGTTCCAGGATCTCATCCAGGATCCTGTATTATTTAGTTGTCCTGTGTCCTTAGGCTCTTCTTGGCTGTGATAGTTTGTCAGATTTTGTTTTTGATGACCTTAGCAATTTTCAGGAGTATGGGTCAGGTATTTTGCAGTCTGTCTTTGGGATGTCAGGTGTTTTCTCTTTGACTAGACTGAGGTTATGTATGTTTTTTTTTGGGGGGTGGGGGTGGGAGACCACAGGTAAAATAGCTTTCTCCTCACTTCGTATCCAGGGTACATGCTCTCAAAATGACATCATTTGGCTGAGGTAGTGTCTGTTAGGTTTTTCCACTGTGAGTTACTTCCACCCCACCCCACCCCCACCCCGTCCACAAGTGTATGTACTCCAGGGAGGGAGGTCATTGTACACAGCTCACACTTAAGGAAGGAGTTACAGTTCGTCTCCCTGAGGGCAGAGTTCTCTGCAGAAACTACTTGGATTTCTTCTGCATGGGAGATTTCTAGTCTCTCCTGTTTATATCACTAGGGACTCATGGATATTTATTTTGTACTTTGGATGATAATCTAGTCCTGCTTTATTCTGTTGCTGAAATTGTCTTAGCTTTGGTCACACAGAGCTTTTTCAGTTGGCTCCTCTGTCCCTTTGACACAACTTCATCTTTGATCATTGACGTGTTGTTTTTTAAGCACGTCTGCACTTCCTGACACTACCGTGTTCTCCAGGTGTGTGTTGTACATTTTCTGCCCTGGCCCTAGACTCCATCATTTTTCTAAGCAGATTTGATTCCTTTCATTGGAGAAGTGGTATCAGAAACCTGAAACTAAGTATGCTGGTGTCTCCAACTGTAATTCTAGCCTTCTCCCCTGGCTTATCCATAACCAACAATGAGAAAACTGGTTCCTACCATCTGCCATCTGTATCGTATTAACAGTTATTCTCAGTAACCATTATTACTGGAAACTTAACTTCCTCCTGTTTTTAAAAAAATGAATGACAGAGTATTATACAAACTGTTCTGCACTTTCATGTTTCACTGACAGACAACATCTATTGGACAGCTTTCCTTGCTCATTCACAGATCTACCTTGTGTTTTTTGAAGGCTGCATAATATTCCATGATATTAATGTTCTTATTGAACACTTTGCCTATTGACAGGCATTCGGGTTACTTCCAATTTTTGCTGCATAATCCTGTGGCAGGATTACGTTGCTTCTGTGAACAGGTGGCAGGATTTCACTGAAGTACTTGATCAAAGGGTATGGATGTTTAAAAATATCATTCTGTTTGTCAAGTTGCTCTCCAAAGACTGAACCAGTTTACATGCTCACCATCTGCATGAATGGCTTCCTGATGCCAGCTGCATGAGAGAGATCAGTAGCCATCAACCATTGATTTTTGCCAATCATGTGAAGGGAATTCATTTTCTGTCGTAGACACAGCTAATCTGTTTTCTTAACTCTAGAGAGGGATATCTTGGTCCACATTTTTACCTTTTTACATAGTCCATTTCTCCCTTTTCTCCTGGGATGCTGTCATGCTTGGAAACGCTTCTCATCTTGCATGTTCTCTCCAGGTACTTTGTGTGGTTTTCTCTAAAAACCCCAGATATGCAAACAGGCATACTGTACACCCACCTACGTAGCACCGAAGTGTGTATTTTGATCTTTGTATACACCACTTGGTTTCCACTGTGCAGGGAGATTTGTGTCACTATCTGCTGTTCCAGTTTACTGGTTTTCACTGCTGCTGAGAGTGACGTGAACATGTCTCAAAGGCACTTCTCAGTTTTCCTGCTGCTCTTGGTCGCTGAGGTGGTTTCCAGCGCCTTTACATCAAACATGCTGGTATGGCTCTTGCAGCACATGGGAGGGATTCTCTGCAGTTGGCGCGGGAGTGGGCTTGCTGGGCTGGATGGTGAGGACGTCCCCGAGTTCACTACGGGGTTATTTGTTCTGCAGGGTAAAGAAGGCCCCCTTGTTAGCTGCCGGGGGCTAGCTCGTTGATTTTGCCAGTGGGGCTGAACATCTTCTCATAAGCTGTTCAGGCTTTATGTCATTTAGCTATTTTTCTTTTGGGGGTATAGTTTCATTTTTCAGATCTTTTGATCCATTTGCAACTGGGTACAAGGGATAAAGCCGTGTGTTTTTCAAAAGACGACCAGTGACATAATGAATAACCCAACCTCAACCTACTAAGCTGAAATGCCACCTTTCTCAAACAGAGCATTCAATGCCTGGAGCTTTGTTTGAGGGGTGTGGTGTACTTCCTAGCTATCTTTCTTCCTTCATGTTTGTTAGAGTAAGTCTGACTAAAATAAAATGTCTGCTGGCATTTTCATTTATTATTAACATGAATTCTGTATTATCTCAAGATGTTCATTCCCTGAATTACTAAACTTTTCTACAAACAGAATATTACCATTGATCTGGTAAGACTCGCTTTCTGTTCACTCCAAAGCATTGTCCCTTCACTTGCCAGATTGCAGCGACTGTCCAGATAGTGCTGAGTAGTGAGTAATAGTGGATGGTGAGTATAATTCTGGTTCTATCAGTACTTCTGGCTTATTTTCCAGCATGTTATCAAATGGGAATTATGGATACTATTTAAGTAAAAAACGAATACTATTTAAGTAAAAAATGAAAAGTTTTATCATATGTTTCCTTCATATCAGTAGTTGCTAGGACTTGAGTTTTTTGCTGTTAGGTTTATAGTATTGTCTATCCTGGCCTCTCTCGTTTTGTTTTTCATGATCTAAGATTCATCTTGGGTAGGAGGGAGCACCTGGGTGGCTCAGTCAGTTAAGCATCCGACTCTTGGTTTCCACTTAAGTCATGATCTCACAGTTTGTGGGTTCGGGCCCTGAGGCATTGGTGCAGAGCCAGCTTGGGATTCTCTCTCAAAAATAAAATTTTTTCTTAAGAATCATCTTAGGGAATTTAGAAAATAGAAAAACACCCCACACTAACCCCATGCCTGGTAGAGGAGTACTAAGTAAACATCAAATGGATGAATGCTGGCATTTGTTGATCTGTTCTCTCACAGTAGGAGTGTAGGGTTTTACATTTGCCATCTGAACAGTATTAGAAGCATCTCTCCACTGGTGCCTCCTCCAAGATGCTGGCAACTTTTGAAATCATTTGATTATCTTTGAAAACCACAATAACGAGACATTCACATTCAGCTTCCCCCATATTTGAGGGGAGACAATTTTGCAGACCTCCCATCAAATGAGCAGACCTCCCAACACTCCGCTCTCCTATCCAGAAAGTCAAGTCTAGAACCTTCCCCCAGTGGAAGGCAAAACTCTCCAGGGTGCAGGGCTGGAGGCCCTCAGTGCACATCACCCACCCCTCCCGCAGAACACTCAGCACCACACTGTGAACTTATCGTAGAATAGATTTATTTACCTGAAACCATGTCTGTGCGATGCTTGTTGCTATACCAGCACAGAAATAAACAACTGATCTCTATTTACAGTCTAAAGTCAAACATGCGTTGTGATAAATTGACATTTAGCATTTTATTAAGATAAATGCATCACAATATTCGTATTGCACCAACATCTGTCTACTGCTTCTGATTTCATTAAATAAGTTACATTTAATACAGTGCAAAATAGCTGTTTGCACACTCAAGAAAATAACAAGTTATGAACTGGAGGCCTACGTTTTTACCTTTCAACACCTGCAGTGTTTTCAATAAATTTATAAATAAGCAAACTGTACAGGGCCAATTAAAAAGTAGCATGTTTAAATGACACCATAGAGAAATCTAGCTACTTACAACTGAAGGCATGCATTACAATAGAATATTGTACATTTATATAAGCTATGACATTTTGCACAGAGAAATATGGAGATTTGGCTGATGGCTTCTAAGTTCTTAGATAAGGTTCAAAACCTCAGTCTTCTTGCAGCAAAGAAACCAAAGTCCGCTGGAGAGGCTTTCTGATTCATTAAGCTAAATTGTACATTTGTAATTATTATTTTCATTTAAAAGCTAAACCCCGTTGGTAATACACGTTTCCTCCACATAACACACAATGAGTTGGGGACTTTTTTCTACTTTTCTTTTTCCCCCAACATCAATCATGCAGAGGGCTGGTAGATGTGTTGCTAAAAACGCACATGCACGCAACCGAACACCCTTATATTTCTGCAAAATGGTTTAGGAAGCGGTTACTCCAGTATTGCTGAAAAGGAAAGAGAGAGGAAATCAGAGTTATGAAATATGGGGAGGAAATGTTAGAATAACCATTTAAGATTAACAGTGACAAGGAATAGTGAAAAGGAATATTCAGTTTAAGATTTCAAGACCAGCATTTCTGATTCACCGTCCCTGAGGTACTGCCTGCCCTGGGCAGCAGCCAGAAGCACTGGCTTGGTACGGACCCTTCGTGTTGTCTGGCTACAGAGCATAGGCCATCCCCGCTCATGGAAGAACCCCACCAGGCAGACACAGAGTCGCTTCAGACAAGGGCAACGGGCAAGAGGAAGAAGAGTTCTCAGTTAGCAGTGCAGACGGTAAGGAGGGTGACACACAGGCGAGCAGTGAGGCTGAGTGCGAAGCCTCTACCTTCCCTTTCTCCCCACACCCCTCCCTGTGGCTGGCTGCACGGTGGTGGCTTTGACAAGATTGGTGGTTACATTAGAAAGGCAATGGCTGATTTGGCTGACTTAGCTCATGGGTGCTGCAGACTGTTCCGGCCCTGGTCAGGGGGAGGCGTTTTTTACAGACACTGAGCTAATGCTTGTGGTCTCATATGCCCAAGGTCTGCCACCTCAAGGACATTCACGGAGCCGAGGTCCCCATTTGAGGGTGATGTGGTAGCAACTGCTTGCAGGGAGGCTGGCGCTCACCCTGCTGGTCTGGGAGCTCACGCAGCTCTCCACAGAACGCGTCACCTGCGCCGTGCAGATGAGCGGCCGGAGGACCTGTGACGTTGCCATCGTTTAGCTAAAGCCCTAACCAAGAAGCCATGCAAGGCCTACCTGCCCGTCGGTGAGAACACGAACAAGTTCTGATGGATCTGAAAAGGACACCAGTACTGATGGCGGCAAAAGCAGAGGCCACCTGGGAACTTCCTGCAAATGCTGGGTGAGGATGGGTCTGGGCACCTGGCCCTCACTGCGGGGAGGCCTGAGGCCCAGGATGCATCCACAACAGTACGTTGCTGATGTGGCAAAGCCTGAAGCAGAGGTCACAAGGGGATGCTCCTAGCTGCCTGGGCTGAGGAAAGCGGGTGCCTAAACTGCCTCCAGGCTGCATGAGCCTGAAGCTGAGAAACCACAAGGGAACAGCTGGCCCAGGCCGACTTGTGTTTGGAGCAGCAAACATTTAACCTCTAAAGGCTACTACTTCAAGGAACCGAGTCAGGAAAAGCTGACTATTGGGTAAGTTTGGTTTCCATTGAGTAGCACACCACCCAGCAAGCTCAGACATCCTGTTTTGGTTTGCAGCCAAGGCACACTCTTCGCATTTGATCATGTTTTAGGCCTCAGGATGCCAAAATTGGCAAAATCCACCCTCCTCCTGGTTATATGCTCTGCCAAACCAACCAACCTCCCTTTCTCAGAGGCCTCATGGATGTTAGGCTGGGACTTCCTTCCCCTTACACTCGGACCTGGCAAGCTGGCAGCACCCTGCCCTGCTTGATGATCCCCACTAAGTCTCCCCCAAACTTGAAGCCTTTACATCACATCTTCTGGCTGGTCGCAGAACCTTCAAAGGAACACTCGGGGCCTCATGGACTAGACTGGTCGCTAGCAAAGCCATGCCCTAAATAACTCTGCTTTAACGTACCCTGGAGAGAGAGAGAGGACAAGTCCCAGCTGTAAAGGATAGGACCCAGAAGGTAAAGAGAGGTGGCCTACCTGAGACCAACCTATGGATGCATGAACTGGCTGGTTCAACTATTTGCTTTCACTAAATTTTTGTTTTTTAATGAACCAGGTAGCAAGGTTCTGGGACAAATCCTTGTGGCTGGTAAAGACCAAGGAAGCACAGGTTTTTGAGAATCCACATCTAGGCATTACCAAAGGCAGCCTTCCCTCAGCCTGTTAAGTCGGACCAAAGCAGAGCATGGAGCCTATCGATGTCACACCTTGCGCCAGCTAACCTCCCCCTCCCCCCCGTGTGCACGGGTACCACACATCGTTCACTTGCTGCTCTCAGAGACTGTCACAGAGCACAGCAGTGCATGACACAAGGAGCTTTTTCGTTAGTGTCACAGAGCTAGCTCACTCGGTGGCAGTCACCTTTAGGCTAAAGCATCTGGATTTCAGGGAATACTCACGTTAGTTGATGGATGTTGGAAGGCATTGGAGGAAAACACCATAGTTAGGACAGTTAATGGCTTACACACTGTTGGTAAGACTGATCTCGAACATGCGCATTTATCATAGTAACATGGTGTTGGTTAGTGCCACGTTCAAATAAAAATAGTTCTATACAATATGTTCAATTGATCATGTGCTATTTACAGATTTTACAAAAACATACGCACACGCGCGCGCGCGCACACACACACACACACACACCTGCCCTTACGTTCTCTACACCAGGCTAAAACAGGCCAGCAGAAACTTGCATAAGAAGTATCACAGATGACAACTGGTACATATATATGAATCCCTACGACTACCTATGCAGCAGAACAGGATCCTTCTTCCCCTCGAGCACAGTAAAGCTAAAGGTCTGAGCTAAGAACTTAAGAGAAAATTGGACACATCTGTCAGATAGTTCAAGCTAAGCCACTTAAAAGTTAAAAACAAGACAGTTATTTTTCTGTCCATTTAAAATGTTTTATTTTCCTTTTTAAACTAGATTGTGAAGTGCCACTGAAATAGGCAATGTTGGCAAAACAATGTCTGTTACAATAAAATACATTAGACATTTAAATAAATAACCTTAAAAACTATATGGGGGGACATGAACCCAGTCGATTGAATCTGGAACAATGTTTTCTGCACAAGCGAGAACAGGCATACCTCTTGTTAAGACTGATGTAAACAGAACCATCGAAACCCTACAGGAGAAGCAGCCGAGCAGGGCTGGGAGTGGGGGGTGGGGGTGGAAGTGAATGGGGGGCCAAAGTGGGGTGAGGGGAGTGGCAAACCAAAAATACTGACTGAGGTAGCAGTACTCTGCTCAGTGCAGAAAAATTGGCTTATGAATAAAAATTAGACTGTGATCTCAGATTAAATCCAGATGATCATGCAGAAGACACAATACATGCTCTTTAGTTTTAGAAAAAAACCACACACATTCATTTCCTAAAATCTGCTGCCAATTAATTTGCTGACAATGTCTGCTGGCTCAACTATTTTTTTATACAAGGATGAGTATTAAACAGAACACTGTACATGCTTTTTCATCTACAAAAAAATATTTGCATAAAATAGTGTTAGTTCTCTGTACATGTCAATGGACACTTTAATTATGTGTATAAAAAAGGAAAATCTTGCCCCACTGGAGTCAGAAAAAGCAAAACAAAATCTAGAGTATGAAATCTCCTTCACCAGCCAATATGTTCATGTGAAAATTCAGCAGAAATAGACAGTTGCTTTAAACAATAAAAAAATTAATTGATTAAGTTAAACATCTTCTTTATGTAAAACTGTCAGTCAAGACCAAAACATATCACTAAAGTTAGTGTCTGTGCTATAGACCCAGATCACCAGGGGCATTATGAGCAGCACAAACGGCCAGGAAATCCCATCGGTGCATGCCGAGAACGAGCAGGATTTGGTGGCAGGCTGCACACACTCTTTACCAGGTTCCAGGTAGTTGCGGGCCACAAACTTGAGTGTCTCGTCCATTAGAATCACAGGCAAGGAGATTTTCAGCACCATCAGCCACTGGGTCAAGTTCAGTGGTGTGATCTGGAAAATAAGCTGAAATACAAAGAAGCTTTGTCAAGCTCCCAAACTTGCAGGACAGGCAGGTAGGCCCCAGCTCGGTCCCGGTCCCACCACTGCTTACTGGCAAAGGTTCCACGTAGAGGATGAGGAAATGGAGCGACATGGACAGGCAGATGGAGCCCACGAGCCAGATGTTCTCCCAAGGGGGCATCCTCAGCAGAGACTGGTTTTCAGATAAGCTGCAGAACAAAGAGAGGGATATGAAACATGCCCACCCAAAAGGCAAACACCTTTGTGACAAGTGACAAAAGAATGTTTGAGGATATGCTTCACTAGGACAGCAGCTAACCTGGCATTGCCCACTGACCCAATTCTTTTGAGTGAAGTTTTTACTGTGGCAAAATTAAGGAAGAACGTTCCAATGTAGGACAAACTTCCAATTTTAAATCTAGGCTTCAGCACAGATGATTTCAGTTCAGTGGACTCCAAGATGCTCTCAATTGCCCTTGACGCTTAACGCGATTTTGTAATTTCCATTTCTGTCAAGGGCTTAATTGGATGATACCATTTATCTCACTGCTAAAGGGCGAGAGCACCTTCCCTGTGGGCACTGGCATATAGGGACGCTGAAGTCCCTATTTTTGGCCTTTGCTGTCTCATAAGGAACGTGTAGTTAAGCACTCCCACTACTTCCTGGAGGTGATGACGACTTAAGCTTTTAAAACCGGTGCTGCTTGTTCTCTTTTCTTTCTGGGAGGGAGGAGCTTTCCTGTCATCCTCCATCAAGCAGGACACATAGTTCCCCAGGGCCCTGGCTGGGGGAGCTCTAGCCCCAGTCCGTGGAGGACTCACTGACCTGTTCAGGGCGTTACACATCTCTATGGTTACTAGAACAGACAGCGCCATTGTCATCGGGTACGGGGACTCAAAGATTGCACAATCCACTCCTTCAAAGTCCGGGTTGTCATCTTTACACTGTAGGAAGTGGCTCTGCAACAAACGCCCAATCAAGTTCCTGATCAGCGAAGTCCATTGCCAAGGTCCACGCACCAGTAACACAGATCTCGGAACAAAGACCCACCCGAGATCTCAATCCACCTACCAGAGAAGCCCTGATCTTTCAGAATAATCTTAGATGCAACTGTTTATTATTTGTGCATTAAGATTATTTGGTAGACACCAAAACCACAAAAACTCAAGGACAATCTTAAGCTTCGCCTCTAAGGTACAGGAAAGAAAGGTGGATACGTACCAGCTGGTAGAAGGACACCCTCGGACCCCCGTCGGCAGCAATGAACCACCACGCAGCAGCACCCACAGTAGCAGCGCCAACATAACCTGGAACAGACACAGGCAGGGTTTGGCGCCCACAGCTTTTACTGCAGGTGTGCCTTGCAGGCCGATCCCCCCCAGAGATGAGACCTGGTATGTTGATGGTACTGGAGAGCTTTGCTGCCACTAGCAATTACTCGTATCAGCCCAAGAAGCTAGATGGAGGGCTTCTGCAACGAGAGGGGTGTCTGGTACCGAAAAACCAGGCAACTTGTGTTCTGGAGTTTGTGAGAAAAAGGACCTACTGGAACTGGCAGGACCTTGACAACAGCCATACCTTCTGTAACTGGTGGCAGGTACATGTCCTCCACAGAAGACCTTGCTGTACTGGACCAGATTACACCACCCAGGACTTTTAGGTGGGAATACTGTCAGAGCAGTTAGTGCAGAACACAGGCAACGTGTCAAAACCCAGAGCTGATTCTAGGACCACCTTGCCTCCCAACCAATCAGTTTTGAACTGAACAAGTTTACTACAAAGAAACAGGGTAGTAGAGAACCCAGAAACTGGACACTGTGAAGATGGTGGCAGCACCCACTGCCAAGACACAGGCGCATGGGGATGAAGCAGCTCTATACACACAGATGTGGCAATTCCCAACAAACAGGGAGAGACAGAACAAGGAGACAGGGTTCAGCACACAGGTTGTATAAGGCACGCCAACACTTGTGAAAATACACACATGGAACAGATCTATTTGCTGGACTTATTTCTGGGAGGGCACAAGAGAAACCCAGTGTTGCAGGGCAATTAACTGACTGGCTGAGAACCTTCTCAGCCATGAATTTTAAATCATGTAAACGTATTAAAACAAAACCAAAACACCTTCCTATGGAACCCCAGGGAAGTCATTTAAACTCTCTGGGCCTCACTTTCCTAAACTCTAAAGTGGGGGACAAGAACCAGCAGCCGGGCTAGGAGCATGAAGTCTACAGAGACCACTTATTTAGAAGAACGTGACCTGTGGCCAGGGGTCCTGTGTGTTCACCAACCTCTGCAGATAAATGCACATCATCCTTCTCTCCTTAGGGGGGAGCAGGGCTTAGTTTCATAGCTTGGGAATGTAAGGCCTGACCCTGACTCACCCGTATATCCCTTTGCCCTTAGGTTAAATCTGAACACCTCATTCACAAAGGTCTAAGGGATGATAAGGATGCTAAAACAAGGGACTAACTTTCCCGTAAACCGGACATAATTTATTAAACTCCATTTTTTGCTACCCTAATAAGGGATGAATTTACAAAATTTTGGCTTTTGAAGATTACATTTAAAAATCAATAATATAAAAAAAAACCTGTACTTACAGCCAATAGCCAGGTAACGGAAAAAGAGCCATCCGCTGATCAGTGGTTCCTTTGGGTTCCGGGGTGGTTTGTTCATGATGTCCAGATCGGGTGGGTTAAACCCCAGTGCGGTGGCAGGCAGGCCATCTGTCACCAGATTGACCCAGAGCAGCTGGACAGGAATTAAAGCCTCAGGAAATCCAAGGGCTGCGGTCAGGAAAATACTGTTTCCACCCAAAGAAAGAGAAAGACCCCAAATTATTTTTTGCCCCTATTTAAATAGCATTAGGACCCTCTCCTCCTCCCTCAATTAATGGACAACAACAACAACTGCTTGAAATAACTTTTTTCAGCCATCATCAAACATTCAGTATACCTAATTTCGAGTTAAAGTAAAATGTCAGAAGGCCATAGTTGAACTCATTTCTATGTTCCAAGGCATCCTTCACTTCTCAGGGCAGCAGCCACAGACAGCCCTCCCGCGGGCCAGATGAACCTCTATGGTCCTTCCTCTTGCCGGGCCCTCCCTCCTGGCTGCTGCCATATAAAGAACAAATCTGGAAAACCGGTCATCCCAAGCCAATTTTAGAAAAAAGACTACAAGTGATCTTTCGCAGGGACTCACCAGACGACTTCCCCCACGTTTGAAGAGATGAGGTAGCGGATAAACTGCTTCATGTTGTTGTAAATCGCCCGCCCCTCCTCGACAGCAGCCACGATGGTGGAGAAGTTGTCGTCGGCCAGGACCATCTCAGAGGCCGTTTTAGCCACTGCCGTGCCAGAGCCCATGGCGATGCCAATCTCCGATTTCTTCAGGGCAGGAGCATCATTCACACCATCCCCTGTCTGAAAGGAAACGTGAGGACTGGTTTTTGCACACCTGCCACCACCTCACACACACCCCAACGAAGGCTTTGCTGTCCTGAAGCAAGGGCAACAAATGGAGCCCTGGACCTCTGGGCACAGTCAGAGAATTTTCAGTTTTACAAACTGGCATCAAAAAATGCACTTCACCTAGGAAACGTACAATTGCCAAATGAGCTTACCGAAAAGACTTCGGAGGGAAGTGGCACAAAGGGGACTTCAATTTCAGCTGTATTATTTTTTACCAAACAACACAAAACCACCCATCTGGCAGTCAAGATTGAAGCACATGTATCACACAAATTTCAAGTAGAATAGATGCACTATTCTAGGAAACTAGAACATGCCATTGACAAAGGTCAGAAATATGCAAAAATACTAAATATTGTCTACAGATACACAACTGTCATTCCCATTGATGTTTTTAAACTTTTACTGAACACCCAACATTGTATTCAGAAAAGTGGTTCCCTCTGGGAGAAGAGAGGAAGGAAGAACACCTGTTAATAACAGGTTTCAAATAACACCTTTTAAAAAAGTTTCACAGACCAGCAACAGAAAGCAAACACTCCACAAT